ATCCTTACGTAATGGCAGATGCAGTGAGGAGGTGGCCTGTCCGCGAAGGATAGCGGGCTAAGCTGTAATGATTATAAGACTTACAACAATGCTCGCTTGCATGTTGAATGTGTTGTAGGCAAGTCGAGGGTACACCGAAGCTGTGTTTTCAAGACAGAAGTAGGCTAGACATGTGGATTTCATATTTTAAGACAATATGTAAATTAAGTTATGTGTTCGGTAGAGACAGGATAGAATTGTAATATAAGCACCACACATACACACATGCACGCACGCACGCACGCACGCACGCAACGCACGCACGCACCACGCACACACACACACACACACACACACACACACACACACACACACACACACACACACACACACACACACATACTCTTTCTCTCTCTCTCCCTCTCCCTCGCATATACTCACTCACTCATACACATGCGCGCGCACTTTGACGCACACAACCTTTACATTTATAAGAGACATTATAACATATATACACTACACACACACACACACACACACACACACACACACACACACACACACACACACACACACACACACACATATATATATATATATATATATATATATATATGTGTGTGTGTGTGTGTGTGTACATATATATGTGTATGTGTGTGTGTGTTATGTCTGTGTGTGCAGTGTTCTATATATCTATATAACTCTATAGACAAGAGTTCCTTCGAATGAGTTTAACAGTATAGATTCTTCAGGTTTGACCAGATCCTTATGTACTTGTAAATGTAACTGTGAGAATATGCCCTTGATATCGACCTTTGCGCGGGTACAGTACTCTCCATGTACAGTAAGTACATATCCCAAAAAATGCCAAAGCATAATTTTCAATGATACTTTTGTCTTAATAAAACAATCGTCATCAAAACAATCTTTTTTTTTTATACTATTCTTGATATATTTTTGCATATGCCTACCTTTTTTCCTTACTGAAAGCACATGAGTGCTCTCTTACATACCACTAATATCATGCTAACAACAGCAATAAAATTAATCTATATATATGTATATATTCATATTATATATATTATATATTATTATTATATTATTATATTAATATATTATATATTTTATTATTTATATCATATATATCTACACATCTATATATACTTGTCTATCAGCACATCACCTTATCTGTCGAGTTATCGAGCTGTGCTGATTCTAGCCATCGGAGCTTATCTTGCTTACACACTTACATCTCCCACTATTTTTATTTATTATATTTATTATAGCTTTTGGGCGGCTGCATGTTTATTTTTTTAATTTATATTTATTTTTTTGTTTTTTTTTTTTTTTTATTATATATTATTTATATTTATATATATTATTATTAGTATTATATTTATTTATTATATATTATTATATATTTTTATTATTTTTATTTTTTTTTATATAAGTATATGTTTATATATATTTATTATATATATATTGTTTTTATTTTGATTCTATACGATATTTTATTAGTATATTTAGTTGATTTATGCATTTATAATATCATTTTCTTTATATTTTAGCTTTTATATTTTTGTTTATATCATATCTTTATTATTTTATTTATTTTATATTTATTATATTATATATTATTTTTTTTATACATTATATCAATCATAGTTAGTGTATATATAACATTAATATATACG